TCCGTGAAGCCCTTTTAAATTTTCAAAACGAATGTGCGCGGCGCTGGGGCGAGAGGCACATTTTGAAAACGACCCGCCCTCCATTTTTGAAAGTTTGTTAATTTTTCACCTTCAAAATCATCAATGGTAAACAACCTCAAGCGGAACGACCGGCCCGCCCAGAAAGTGGCCTCGGAGTGCGACAGGAAGAAGTTATTTATAAGGAAAAGGAATGGAGGAGGAGAAAGAGGAGGAGGAGGAGGAGGAGGAGGAGGAGGAGGAGAATTGGATGAGGAGGAGGACGATGACGAGGAGGAGAAGCGAGGAGGAGGGAGGAGGAGGGAGGAGGGAGTGGATGATGATGACGATGATGATGATGATGATGATGATGATGATGATGATGATGATGATGATGATGATGATGATGATGATGATGATGATGATGATGATGATGATGATGATGATGTGACGATGATCATGCTGTTGATGTTAGTTATGATGATGCTGCTCTTGATGATGATGATTCTGCTGCTAAGGATGCTGATGATGATGGCGGTGGTGGTGGTGGTGATGATGAGGATGCTGATGCTAATGATGATGCAGATGATGATGATGATGGTGATGATGATGATGGTGATGATGATGACGACGATGATGATGCTGATGACGATGATGATCGATGGTGATGGTGATGGTGATGATGATGATGATGATGATGATGATGATGATGATGATGATGACGATGATGATGATGATGGATGAGGATTAGGATGAGGATGAGGATGAGGAGGAAGGAGGGGGGGAGGGAGGAGGAGTGAGGTCGGAGTGGAGGAGGAGGGAGGACGGAGTGGAGGAGGAGGCGGAGGAGGATGATGAGGAGGAGGAGAAGGATGGAGGAGGATGGAGGAAGGAATGGAGGGGGATGATGTGACGATGATGATGGATGATGGATGATGATGATGATGATGATGATGATGCTGATGATGTGCTGATGATGCTGATGCTGATGCTGATGCTGATGTGATGCCTGATGTGTTGCTGATGCTGATGATGATGATGATGATGATGATGATGATGATGATGATGATGATGATGATGATGATGATGATGATGATGATGACGATGATGATGATGAGGGGGATGATGATGAGGAGGATGAGGAGGAGGAGGATGTGGCGGTGGAGGAGGAGGAGGATGAGGAAGGAGGGAAGGGAGGATGAGTGAGGTCGGAGTGGAAGAGGGAAGACGGAGTGGAGGAGGAGGAGGAGGAGGAGGAGGAGGAGGAGGCGGAGGCGGAGGCGGAGGATGAGGAGGAGCAGGAGGAGGAGGAGGAGGCGGAGGAGGAGGAGGAGGAGGAGGAGGAGGAGGAGGAGGAGGAGGAGGAGAAGGAGGAGGAGGGGCCACGTGCGGCACCCCGTGTTCATGGCCCGCCCAGGGGTTCCCCCCCCAGCTGCGGCCTCGCAAGGGATGGGGGGTCGAAGCCGACGGGGGTCCCCCACAGGGCTGGCCTCTCTGCAGCCAAGGGCACTGGACAGGGGCACCGCTTTGGCTGCTCGGCGTCTCGCACTATACCCACTGCAGAGTCTTCATTCGAGGTGTTTGATTGCATGCCACAGGGCGTTTGGCCCGCAAGCACGCTGGCGATTTCGGTTGTGAGGGGACCCGCGTCCAAAGCGCGAGGAGAAAAAAACAAAAAATATAGAAAAAACAAGGGGTGTGAGGCGAGGGGAGGGATCCAAGCTCGAAGGGGGGGGGGCGGCGGCAACTTCTGGAGAGCCATTTAAAAAACGTTGACGGCGGGCAGGGGTCGTGTTTGATATTACCCCTTGGAAGCCATCGCCAATGCCGGCCGCGCGCCCAACCGGTTCTTACATGGTTGATTGGTTTGCGAAACTGTGCCTTTGCATTGTTGTTGAGTTTTGCGTGTGCCATGGTGTTTGCATGTTTTGTGAGTTTTTACGCTTGCAGAGAGTAGAGGCTAAGCGCCCATGCCAAGATCGAACAAATCGGGCGGATGTTTTTTCTAGATGTCGACCTCTAGTGTCCGTCTCGGGCTCTGGGACAGTCAAGATCGATGCGGGTCCGACCAGGATCGACCGGGAGTGGTTCGGGGACTCGTTTCGAGCGGATTTGCTTTACTCAGGCGGAGGGGAGGGTCGGACTGGACGGAAAGGTAGGATAGGGAACGGGAGGTTACGAAATCTTCTGCATGCAGCTGGTTTCCGCGCCCATTCCTCGACACATGGGCGCCTCCCAGCGCCAGTTGACTTCAGGGAAACCGACGGCGTGATCTGATTCTCTATTTGCCCTTTGCTATCCCACCCTTCCGCCCCCCCGAAAGGGGAGGGAGGATGGATGGAGACCAGCCACGACTGGTGGGTGTGTGGTCGCTGCCCCGAGGGAGGCAATCAAAGCGGCGTAAGCATAAGCGTTGCAAGGTCCTCTCAGATTTCTTGTGTCGGCCCAGGACCCCGCCCCTTGGCGCCAGAGGCGCCGCTGGGGGGGACCAGCGCCGACCCAATCATGTTTACAGTGTGCGTCCTTCTGGGGCTGGCCTCCTGAGGCAGCAGCGTCTCAGAACGGATCGGAGGCCTCGGAGCAGGCTTCTCAGAGCGCCAGAGGGTTCACGCCAAGCTGCCTGCCTTCTCGGATCCCGCTCTCGAAACCTCGTGCGCGCCGCCACGTCTCGGCGGGGCCGAGATGTGGGCCCCGAGGGTCCCAGACCCTCCGCCTGAGGAAGACATCGTGGCAGAGGTTCGGCGTTCTGCCCCTGGGGCCGTTTCCGCCCCCCCTGGGGTTTAGGACTCTGGTCCCATGAGGGGGGGCGAGGAGGGGGAGGGGGAGGAGGAGGAGGAGGAGGAGGAGGGGGGGGAGGAGGGGGAGGGGGAGGAGGAGGAGGAGGAGGAGGAGGAGGAGGAGGAGGAGGAGGAGGAGGAGGGAGGAGGAGGAGGAGGAGGAGGAGGAGGAGGAGGAGGGTGGCCTTCGGAGACTTTGGAGGCCCCTGGAGGGCTTCTCGGGAGAAGCGAAGCGGGGGCGCCAAGGGCGGGGACGACGATCGACCGCACCTCCTGCTCGTTCTCCGCGCCGCTGCCGGCGTCGCCTCGTTCCGTGGCGAGGGGGCGCCCACCCAGCCGTGGTCGCTGTCGGCCTGCGTCGCCGACGGTACGTTTCTTCCATTCGTGCGAAGATTATTTCCGCACGTGCTCGCGCCCGCGCACCGCCCAGTGTACGGCTTGCCAGTCAGTCTGCCTCCCTTGTCAAGCCAGGAGGGCGTGCACACTGGTCCTGGGCCCATGGTGGGCGTGGTCAGGATCGGTGAGGTGGACAGCTTCGGCTACGCGCAAGAGTGGTCCTGCGCCAGAGTGCCGTGTGCTTCGGGCCCACACGGGTCCCAGCAGCACTGGCTTGCGCGCTTGGATTTGGCCTCCCCGCGGCTCCCTGAAGCCGCGCACCGAAGGTAAAAGCTGCCCAGGGTCACTCTTTCGAGCAGGCCTACAGTCCTCCGCGAAACTCGAGTTTTGCCGACCCCCCGTCGCCCCCAATTTCAGCGTTCAGTTGCGCGTTCGGCGCGGTCCGCGGACGCCGACGGAAAGTTTTGAGTGAAGCGTTTGGGCATCAATGTTGAAATTTTGGGGCCTGGGGGCGCCGACGCGGCGCGAGGAAAACTTGCGTTAAGTGTCGCGGAGGGTTGTAGGACGAGGATGAATCCGTTCCAGAGCGTTCTGGAACGTTCTCAGGGCGTTCCGGAACGCTCTGAGAAGGCCGCGGCGCGCGAGACCATCTCCAGAGCCACCGAATCCCAGAGACTCTCGACTTGTCCTCGCCCGATTTTATCACCGTCCCAGCTTCGTCTTGCGTCCCCCGGGCTGCGTCTCTCCGAATCCAAACCCCCGGCCCCATCCGCTGCAGCCTCGCGGCGCTGGAGACCCATGCCCGAGCGCCCCACAGGGCACAGGCTCCTCTGGCTCCTGCTGACCCCCTGCTCCTGCTCCTGCTCCTGCTCCTGCTCGTGCTCCTGCTGCCCCCGTGCTCATGCTCCTGATTCTCCTCACCCTCCCCAATTCACCATCCACCAAAGCACCCCAGCCCAACCCGAAGGCCTCCACTTGCCCTCGAGTTTCAGTGGGGGGGGGGGTCGGGGAACATTGAAAAAACACGGGACCCGTAACCCCCCCAACCCGAAATTCGGGTCAAGCTCGGGCCTTCGGGTTGGGTTGGGGTGGTCTGGTAGGCAGTCACCAGTCGCCTCTCTTTCTAAGCACGGCCGGGCCGAACGATGCGACGGAGGCCGGCTCGGGGAGGGCACCCTCGTGTTCTTCGTGTCTGTCTTGCGCTCTCGTGTACAGTCGGGGCCCCGAGAAAGGAACCCTTTTTTGTTGGGGAGGGGCTCCGTGCTCCTCAGTTGCTTTGCAGTGCTCCTCGGGGTTTCCTGAGGTTTTCCATGGATCGGAGGGCACCAACTATACACCAACACCGATCCTGGCCCAGGATCACCCTGGGCCCAGGATCGGTGTAGATGTCTTCTTGCCCAAGGCAGGAGGGCGTATACACCGATCCTGGGCCCAGGGTGATCCTGGCCAGGATCGGTGTTGGTGTATAGTTGGTGCCTTCCTAATGGAACATCGGAGCTTCATTTATTGGGAGAAAGGGGCCTCGTTCCTTATGGATCGTTCCTTGGGTCAGCTCCCCGACCGCATCCCGGGGAGGATGGCGCCCTCGGTGATATCTCGTTGCCCGGGGGGTGCCGTGGCCGGCGGAGGGGCCCACATGCTCCTGAAGGATGTGCTCTTCGGCCCGTGGTCAGGAGGGGAAAACACACACACACAGACACAATGAATCGTCGATCCCCAGGAAAGATAGGAAAATACGGGAAGGGGGGGGGAAGACAAACATTAAGACAATATGGGAAAATAGGGGGCATCCTGTTATTTGTGTGCATTTATTTGTGTGTCTCAGGGCCCCTGCCCATGGTCCGGCCGTAGCTCCTCCGTGGGTCCCCCCACTCCCACCCCCCCTCCGAGGACACGGCCGCCAGCGCGCCCGCTGGGGGCGGCGGGGGCGCTGCGGGGGCGGGTGGCGAGCTGTGCGAGGACGGCCAGGGTCCCGCGGGGAGGGGGATGCTGTTGCCACCTCCCTCCTCTCGCTCCTCCTCCTCCTCCTCCTCCTCCCTCCCTCCCTCCCTCCCTCCCTTCCTCCCTCCCCTCTCCCTCCCCCCTCCCTCCCTCCTCCTCCTCCTCCTCCTCCTCCTCCTCCTCCTCCTCCTCCTCCTCCTCCTCCTCGTCCTCCTCCTCCTCCTCCTCCGCCTGATGCGTCAGCAGCTGTCGACTGTGCTCAGTCTGGCTTCAAGCTCGCTGACCAGCGTGCCCGCCACAGAGACGTGCAGAGACACATGGACACCCTTTGCCATCTGTGGGGAGGCCCGGCAGAGTTCGAGATCGCTGCTGGCAGACATGATGAGCTCAGAGGAAAGGGTCGTCGAGGTATGCTCCCGCGTCTCATCTGGTCTCAGACGGTTAGGCCGGAACCCTCTTCGCGGCAAGGTCGGCAGCCTGTTTTCTGTGCTTTCAGGTTGCCGGAAAGGTCCTTTCGTGCAGTTCTTGCAGCCGCCAGTGACGGCAGGCCACGATCTGCGCTGCCCTCCCTTCTCAGTGTGATCGTCCACCAGCCCCGTGTCAAAAACACCTCCAAGACATCTCAAGCTGCGTTGTCATCACCCAGGAGTTCTTGGGTTCTATGTTGCAGGATCGTTTGATCTGGAAGGAGGTGCCACCATCTTGGAACATTTGGATGCTCGTCTCAAGGAGGAAGGCCAGTGGTGAGTCTAGGAAGAGTTGGAGTCTTGGTTGCTCCACGGCATTGATAAATAGAGATCGCCGTGCTTTCAATTCGTCAACGGAGCAGGAGCCGTGGATACCCACGACCACATTCTGTGCTCATGGTCAAGTTGTTTCAAACCTATGGTCTTCACTGGCTTCGGGAGCCGCCAGAGTTTTAAGGGCTCTGGGAGAGTAAGGCGTACGAGTAAGGCGTACCCTTATTCCGAAGGTGCTGCTCAATATTTGGAACCCTTGGAGGCCATCGCCCCCGACAGGTCGCGCGAAGAAGGTCTTGCAGCCAGTGCTCAGCCACCAGCCTCGATGATTCATCGGGGGCGGCAAGGAGGGGGGTGATGACTAGAGGGGGCTGGATATCATGGCTTGGGCCATGAGATCTCCCCAGATTTCATAGCGCCTCTTCTTCTATTACGTCGCTGGGTCCCCCCCTGGGCCGTGCACATGCCGCCAGCCATGATTTGCGCCCCCTCCCCTCTTTGACGCCCCCCTCTTGGCCGCCCCCGAACGCGCTGCCCGCGATTCGTATCGTTCTCCGACCCGCTGCTTCGCGTGCTTTGGGCCCTGCTCACGCCGCTGGGGTGCACTCACCTCCATGTTGCTCAGGCAAGTGCAGGTCGTCTTTAGTCTTGCTGGAAGAGCCAGCGGGAGGCTTCCGCCCCGTCGGCTTATTGGAGAGGCCTGACGGCCGGTGCCGCCGACCCTGATCGAAAGGGCTAGGAGTGGGGGGAGGAAGCGGAGGATGAGGATGATGATGATGATGCTGATGATGATGATGATGATGATGATGATGAGGAGGAGGAGGAGGAGGAGGAGGAGGAGGAGGAGGAGGAGGAGGAGGAGGAGAGGAGGAGGGTGGAGGAGGAGGAGGAGGAGAAGGAGGAGGAAACAGGAGGTGGAGGAGGAGGATGAGAGGAGGAGGAGGAGGGGAGGAGGAGGAGGAGGAGGAGGAGGAGGAGGAGGAGGAGGAGGAGGAGGAGGAGGAGGAGGAGGAGGAGGAGGAGGAGGAGGAGGAGGAGGAGAGGAGAGGAGGAGGAGGAGGAGGAGGAGGAGGAGGAGGAGGAGGAGGAGGAGGGGAGGAGGAGGAGAGGAGGAGGATGCATCCTTTGTGTGCCCGCTCGAAGAAAGTGCGCCCCGGGAGTGTGATATTCTGACTTGGGACGTGCTCCCGGAAGAGGAAGAAGTGCATCTCGGGCGTGCCCGCTCGAGGAAAATGCGCCCTAGGGGGGTGGTATTTTGACTCGGGGCCCGCTCCCGGGACGCCTCTGCGGGAGGAGGAGGAGGAGGAGGAGGAGGAGGAGGAGGAGGAGGAGGAGGAGGAGGAGGAGGAGGAGGAGGAGGAGGAGGAGGAGAGGAGGAGAGGAGCAGGAGGAGGAGGAGGAGGAGGAGGAGGAGGAGGAGGAGGAGGAGGAGGAGGAGGAGGAGGAGGAGGAGGAGGAGGAGGAGGAGAGGAGGAGGAGGAGGAGGAGGGAGGAGAAGGAGGAGGAAGGAGGAGGAGGAGGAGGAGGAGGAGGAGGAGGAGGAGGAGGAGGAGGAGGAGGAGGAGGAGGAGGAGGAGGAGGAGGAGGAGGAGGAGGACCAGGAGGAGGAGGAAGTGCATCCCGTGCGTGCCCGCTCGAGGAAAGTGCGCCCCGGCGGGCGTCGTATCTGCCCCGGGCCCCCCCCCCCCTCCCCCCCCCTCCCCCCCCCCTGCGGGGAAGGGATCAAAGGGAAGGGGCTTCCCTTCGACTCCACTACGACGTCGTTTAATTTCGCTTTGGATAGCGCGCTTGAGGAGGAGAGCCCTGGGAGGGGGAGAACGGAGACGACGGAGACGACGAGTCGAACGGAGAAACCCCTCACACACGCCGACAGGGTCGGCGGATTCTGTGGCACATGCCGCGTTTGGGGACGCGCGCGTCGCCCATTGTCATTATCCAGGGAGGCTGCGCATCCCATGGCTTATCTTGCTGCGTCAGCTTTCTGTGTGGCCAGTGACGTCGTGTGGCGTCAAGCAGTCAGAAGTGAACTAGGCGTTCGGAGCGGAGATGCTGCTGTGAGTGTTTTGCGAGATTGGCACACATTCTACGAGCGTGTTCGGTTGGGTGTTTCGTTGGACGTGGCTGAGTTACTGGAATTCCCGAGGGCCCTGGTTCGTTTCGCTGTCCAGGCCTATCGCGGCCCTCGCTCCCTCCCTGTCCAGCATGGTTGACGGGCCCCACTTCGCTAACCTCGAGGTGGCCACTGGCTGTTCGTATGCAGTTACTTTTGTGCGCATCTGCCTGACACTTGCTCCAGACAGGTCAGTTCTTCCCGGAGGCATACGTCGCACTGTATGTATCGACTGCTAAGGGTTTTCTGGAGTCGTCTAGCAGGTGCGTCAGTTCCGACATCAAGGAAACAACCGGAGGACTATGTGGCATGATACGTCATGCATTGTGCAGCGCCATCTCGGAGAAGGTGGCTTTGATCTGTTCATCTGTCAAAGTTGGTGCGTCCAACTCCGCAGTCAACCTGGGCGTGGACGACACTGCAGGCAGACCACGCAGGCGACCCCAAAGAAGTGCCAAGTTCAATGGGCTTCAAATGTGCCTCAAGGTTCGTGTCAAACCTATCATGCGATCTCGTGACTTTTTGGGTCGCCATTCCTGGATGTGTTTCTGCGGCGACTTCCGGGAGTGAGATCCGCGGGATATTTGATTTCGAGCCCGACAACCCGAGCAAACCTTCGGGATGTGCGTCAACCTGTCAGCGGTTTCCCGTGTCTTGAGCTCGACCACCATCCTTGCGATTGATCCGTGCTGGTACCCTTCAGTTTCCCCAGTATTCAGATATGCCATTGAGATTTAATATAACCTGCTACGCGAGTTTGAGTTTACTTTTTTATCCTTACTCACAGTTGCGCGAGGCTTGGGCTTCAGCCTTTGGTGCAGTCGGTCCTTCCTGGAAGTCGTGCCCTGGACCTATTATGGCGATGCGGCTTTCCTTTTCCAGGATTGGCCTCGGAAGAAATTAGCGACAACTCATGTCACATTCATCCGTCAATACCCCCTCCCAATGATAAATGTTGTTGGCTGTGGGTTGGATGAGTTACACTTCGACCGCAGTCCTCCCTGCGCATGCCAACTTTGAGCTTTGGGGGGCGGGGGAGTGCCCACTAATTGTTTCCCTTTGCCGTATGTCTGACTGTTACTCTGGTCGCTTAGAAGGATGTCAAGATGCACCCACCCCCTCTCCTCGTGCGCGAACTTCTGGGAAGCGCAAGTCGCAAGCTAGGTTTCGCCAGCGCGGCTTGCTCCGACGTGGTAGGCACTGTGCTCCGCAGCAGGACGCTCGGGCCCGGCCATGCGTTGCGATGCGACCTGCTCCCGCTCTTGAGCTGCCGAGGCAGAGTTTCTCTTCTGTGGACGCTGGGACGGCGGGGGGGTGTCGACCCGGCCCGCCCCCCCCCCCCCTCGAGATGCACGAGGGGGGGTAGAATCGGGGGGTGGGCACCCCCGCCAGGGGGAGGCCTCCCCCTCCCGAGTTGAAGCGCGGGGGGGGCGGGTCGAACCGGGAGGGGTGCCCCCCCCCCACTCTGTCCAGGGGGGTGGGGGTTCAAAGCGGGAACGGCCCCCTGTTCCCCTTGTCCTCCCCCATCCCCCCCGTCGAGTTGCAGGACTGCGGGGGTGGTCGAACGGGGCCCCCCCTCCCCCCTGAGTTGAAAGAGGTGTGGGGGCTCGATCCGGGATGGCAACCGATTACGGCGGGCGCCAGGGCCGTCGCCGTCGTGCAGCGATGACGACGACGACGACGGCGACGGCGACGGCGACGACGACGGTGACGGCGACGGCGACGGCGACGGCGACGGCGACGATGACGAATTACGATGACGACGACGCCCGCGCCGGCGCCCTCACAGCGACGACGGTGGCGGCGGCGGCGGCGACGATGACGACGATGACGACGACGACGGTGACGGCGGTGGCGGCGGCGACGGCGACGGCGACGGCGACGGGGACGGGGACGGGGACGGCGACGGCGACGGCGACGGCGACGGCGACGGCGACGGCGACGGCGACAGCGACGGCGACGGCGTCGGCGACGGCGACGGCGACGGCGACGGCGTCGGCGACGACGACGGCGATGGCGGCGGCGGTAACGTGGGCGACTGGGACGACGGCGACGGCGACGGCGACGGCGACGACTACGCGCACAGGGCCGCCCCCCGCTTGAGTTGCGATTGGTGGGGGTGGGGGGTCGAACAGAGGGGGGGTTCCCGTTGGCGCCCGCGCCGGCGCCGTC